TGAGTGGAGTGACGGTCATCAGTAGTAGTCTGTGCTGGTATTGCTTCCTTTTCTGAGCGCCCTGAAGCTTTATATGTTTCTAGTGCTTGGAGAAACATTTCGCCCTCCATTGCTCATGCTGTCCTTCTGTAATACAGTCCTCCTTCTTCTTCAAACTCGATTCTTGAATATTTTGTGTCTTCACGTGTGAGCTGAGCAGGCAATGAAGCCTTTTTAATTTTGTCTGCTTTCCTGATGTTACTGCACTTCAGTTTATTGTAGTTCTGAAATGAATAGGAGACTATTGGCATCAGAATTTTTGCTCATTTATATTCATGTTAATAATCATATTTTTGTAATGGCATCATCTTATTTTACCAGTCTATGTAGTGTGGTTAACACCTTGTAAAGTCATTTTAAATAGGAATATCTAATTTTTAGCAGATGCTAGAATCTTAAGGCCACCGTACACAATTAAATTTGTTTCATGAAACATCTTTTATACAGGAGTCAATAGAGTTTGAAACATGTTTCATGGAGTTAAAAAATTTCAATTTTATGAAACATGTTTCATGAAGCAAAGTTTCATAAAACAAGTTTCATAAAACAAGTTTCATAAAACAAGTTTCATGGTGTATGATAGCCTTTTGTTCAAAAAAATTAACATGTCTACATTCTCTTGGCTAAGACTTGTACATTGGTGACAATATTATCAGCAACACAGAGAACTTTCTGACCGAAGGTGCTACAATACAGAATAGCTTCTTCGCTATTTCAGAAAGTGTAGGAAACCTCTCTTCATGCTTTGTCCATCATTCTAATGGGTCAGAATTGTGATCCAAGACTGGCTCCTTGCTGAAATATTCTAGTTCATCCTTATTGCTCAAAGCCTCTCTTTGCACTTCAATAAAAATCCATGGCAGTGTATTTCTTCTTAGTTGGTTGCTCAGCTATTTCAATGTCACAACTAAGCAACTCTGTACTGGATTATGAGGATCAACTGCAGCACAGAGAACTTGTAAGCTTTCACAAATATTATTTGAAGTAGGAGTAAATCTTCTCTCCCATTCTCCAGCAACAATTTGTTTAAAGCGTTCAACTGCTGAGACATCATTATCATGTACAACTAAATGGTTACTGAGAAGCCATTTGATTACTGGGTAGATGATTGAACATGACACATTAGAATCTAAGCTGAAGACTGTTTTGGTTATTTGGAGGGGCTTGAGAACAACCGCCATTTGAGAGAGTAAGTCGCACTGAGTATCTTTCTAATCTAGGTGATGATGCTCTGGCTTTGTAATGGCTGGATCATGACTGACTGCATATATGCTCCAGCATTAAGTAGCTAGAATTCCAGCGCGTGGAAACATCTTGAACAAGGTGGTGTTGTGGTACTTCTAATTGTACTTCTTGTCACGCAGTCCTGTCATGGCTACAACACTGTGTTTTAAATGTGCAATTATTTTTCTACTTGTAGCTATCATTTGACTGATTGCTTGTATATCGAGCGATACGGAGGTGAAGAGTATGTGCAGCACAACCAAAGTGTGACCATCCAGTCAGCTCGAGACCATTGATAGTATTTGCAGCATTGTCACTAATACAGGCAGTTATTTTCACTGAGGAAAGAGACCAATCAGCAGCAACTTTGGTGAGCCTATCAGCAATATGTTGCCCAGTGTGACTTTCTGGCATTTCTTCTGTTACAAGTACCTTACTAGACAGCTGCCAAGACTCATTCACAAAGTGAACAGTCACGGTCATGTAACCATGAATGGCTATCCTTGTCTAGATATCTGTAGTTAAACCTACATGGTCACACTTGGAGGTAATAGTGATGAGCCTGTCCTTTTCACTTTCAATGAGACGATGGCACACTGTAGCAATGTGTATGTGTGAAGGAACTATACCCTGGCTCAACATGGCTCATCAGGTTTTTGAAGCCAACACCATGAACTAGATTAATTGGTTGAATGTCCCTTGCCACCATTTCTGCGATTGTTCTAGTAATTTTCTTTGATCTAGCTGTAGAGCATTTCTTTGGAGCTACAGATTGATCCTTACTTGTACTGTGGCTTGTGTTGCTGTCAACTTGACACAGCTGAGGGTGATGAGAAAGCAGATGGCTCTTCATACATGTGGTTCCTCCATGGTATGCTAGAACAGTCTTGCAGCTCCTACACTTCACCTTTTTGGTATCAATCTTCTGTAAATGATCCCAGACTGGGCTTTCTAAAGATTGAGAACAACTTGCCATGGCCTCAGTAGTCACTATTAGGCTAATAGCCGCCACTAGGTAAACAGAGCAAGAAAGGTAACAATTGGTGGGTGTGTCCATTAATTAATAATAGTTATTGCAATAACCATTAATACTTTTATTATGCGAATAGTTCTAATAAAAAAAATTTAATTCAAATATTGCTGTAAATGAACGAATACCTTACTTTTCATTTCAGCCCTAATTGTTATCATGAATCATGGCATATATTGGCCATTTTGCTCTATTAGTGAACATACATGAAGTAGGTAGAATTCCACCTAGCACCAACATCGTGAGTGTGTGAGTGTTGGCTTGTATTCATGCCTTTCTTTTTTAGTGCCTCCATTGCCCTTGCACTATGCTTGAAGTGGCATTTGATTTTTCTTCAAATTGCAGATACCCTGGTAATTATAGGTATGTGTAAGCCCATCCCTGCTTTACAGCTGACTGTAGGGTATGAGCAAAGCATGGCATGTCATCCCAATCATCCAAAAGCCGAGATGACAAGTTAAAGATATATATCCGTCACCCGACCTGGACGTCCACATGTCTGTTGTGAATGACACTGAGTGCTGCTGTGCTAGTTGACCATGCACAACATGCTTCTGTTGATAGTATTTCTTATCTATTTGTGACACTAGTAAACCAAGGACTATTACACAGTCTAGAGCCCTTGTATAATTGTCTGTGCAGGAACAACACTACCTACGGCTAGGTACCTACTTTCTTCCAATTCAAGCTCTGAATAAATAGACGTCTGTGCTCGTGTCGTAGTCTGACTTGTCCATAGATAACATCTCTAACAATAATGTATCTGAGGTATCCTCGGAACCAATGCCGATGGCTTGAACTTTTATACCCTCTTTAGATGCCATAAGTCTGCAAGAGAATGATATATCTAAAGCCATGCATATTAATCTTACCTTAGTTGATGGTTGCTGCTCTGCTGACTCAATTAAACTGCCGGCTGATCTAGTTATAAAATTTATTATCAGCATCATAGTGACTCATATAGCATCATTAATACCAGACCTTATACTGGTATGGACTGTACCATAGATAATAGAGTTTAAAGGGATTGGAAACTGCGTGGGTGGCCTGTATAAACCAATGGAGGTCGAAGTTATAGTCTTCCTGCATGGCACAGCAAAACGTGGGTCAGCAACATTCATTAAGTTTAGAAATGCAACGCCATCTACAACACTGATGGGTCTCATGTCCCTAATAATAAACTCCACTGCAGCATTGGTAAGAGACTTTGAGCACTTTGAGGTTGAAGATAGCAATGGTGGAGCCTGAGTAGTTGACCATGCACAACATGCTTATGTTAAGTTAATCAGTTAACAGGTTAAAGTTCACAGCTCTACAGGCCATTACCTTTAGGTTTTAGTCTCTGTCTTTCAATTGTTTGTCACACAACAGCTTTTACTTCTTTTATAATGCAGTGTTTTGGAGTCAATTATTACTGGTAAAATTGAGCAAAGATCTGAAGAAACTTCGGAATAATTTTGTATCACCTTCATTTATATTTGGTGTGTTATTTTGCTTTAGAATGAGCTCTTGCAACTTGTTTAATGTATGCTGTGCTTAGTTAGTGCATCTAAGCTTGCCCTTTTTAGTCATCATCTCTAAACTTATTTTATTTCCAGAAGTGATTATTCTTTTTGCACATTTTTTATTTAGAAGAAATCCTCACCCTTTTCTGGGAAGGAAAAAGTAAAGCAAAAAATTGTTAAAAGTGTGGAAGCTGTGGATGTTGATGTTAATAAAGATTCTACTTCTCTTGGTATTTCTCACCGAACTGCTATCTTATCTAAAAAAAGTGGCGATTCTGGTATTGAGAAAGATTTAGATTTGTCAAATGGAAATGGTGAGTTCATTGCTGCAGAAGCATGCAAAAATACACATAATTACTGTACTCTTTTCTGAATTATCAAATGATTTGTAACAATTTTTATTAAATTTACTAGACAGTAGATACCGTATCTCTTTTCTCTGAAGATAAAATGTTATGAATTTTATGCCTTATATTTTTGTTAAATGCCTGCATTCATTTTCAAATACTCGTCACATGTAAAACAGCAACATTTGATTATATTAATTTCTATATGTAAAGTATGTAAATTTTGGCCTTTGAATGGTTGGAGACTTTAGTCACTGTACCCTGTAAAATGTCGACGTTCATTTTTGAGATGCTATGGTTTTTAAAAATTTTCATGCATGTGCTTTGTAACCATGCTTTACGACATATTTAAATAGTTTAGATGGGCTCTCCTTCACTACATTGTAAGTGAATTTCCTAGTACCTTTGAGTATAGTAGAAGATGACTAAAAATTTGAAGTTCTCAATAATTTTTTTAAATTTTTAATTTTTTATTAACACGAGTGCTTATTTGTCTTTCACATCCTTCCTTTCTGATTGGATTGATAATTAGTGGTCTCCAAAGATATTCTAAAAAAGATGAACGGACAGAGAACAATTTAAAATGCACACATCATTCCATCTAAAGACACTGTGTTTGTGGTTGGATGCCATTTTGATTTACTTGTGTTATGCAGATGGTCAGTATGAATATGCCATGTAGTTACATGTAGGAAAGGAGAGCTCATGTTCATATTAGAGCTCATTGATAGTTTTGAAATCACTTGTCAATGTTTGCCACATTTAATATCATGATAGTGTGTTAACACATTATTCATATCTTTGAAGTTTCTAATGAGACGAGACACTGTTGGTGCATTGGCCTCGCATAAACAACGAAAAACAAAAATTGTTTTACTTATGATTTCAAAACTAATTTGTCCTGCATATTGTATCCTGGTTTATATTTGTGGTGCAAATTTTATTGTGAGTCTGGCATTTAAAAAATTTTTTGGAATTAATTTTTACAAGTGGCTTTCAGTCTTCACCTTGTGGCAGTGGAAATGCAGAAATTTGTGGTAGAAAAATATCGCGAAAGAGCGAGAAACTGTGAAATTTTTGAAAATATTTCTCCTCAAAAGTAAACTGGTGTATGGTATTACCACTGTGGTGTATGGTATTACCACTGTAGGTACATGTATTAAATTTTGCTTGACATAGTGTTGACTGTATTCTTCATAGCCTAATTTAGATGTGAGCATGCTGTTGTTACAGTACAGTGAAAGTGTCAAATCTTGATTCCTGGATTTGTTACCAGTATGAAATCTTGATTACTAGAGTAAATTTGTGTCTGTTGTACTATATGTGTAACTGCTGGAAGAAGGTTGAGTTTCTTAAACTTCTACACTCTGCACACACACACATTTATTAGGCTTGATTTATTGCATGCAAACTCTTATCAAGCGTCTGACGTTTATAGCCTTAAGTCATTCTTTTAAGGTGAAGCACCTCGTGTAAAGTGGAGAGGTAAGTGATTTTTAGACATTCCTGTCTAAAAGACAAAAGTTACAGAAAAAATGCTACATATTTTTATAAAGAGGAGGTTTTTTGTCTCTCTACAGATACCAGGTACTGGAAGTGTTCCAAAAATTATAGGAGAACCTAATACATCTGGCAAGATTGTTAGCTTTTCGTTCCTTGCACTGCCATCTATACTTGATAAAGCTGGATAAAGTAACTTTTTAAGCACATGGAGAAACTTTGAGTGTATGCGAACCCCTTTGAAGGCCACACAACCTCAAAGAGAGAGTTAGAATTAATGAGTTGCTGACACCTCACTTAACTTGATTGGCCTTGCCCACACTTGTTGCTGGTGAGGCAAAGACTATACATGTGGCATTTTGCTATTTTGTACATATTTTAGTTTTATGTGTTGCTTGTAACTAGCAATCATTTTCATTTTTCATGGAAAACATGGCTTACTTCTCTGAACACTTGTGTATAGCTCCACCAGATATTACTGTTGTTTCTAATACTATTCCTATGACTATACCTTATAATTATGGTTGTAGTACTGAGCATGTTTATGTTATGTCTGATTGGCCAGACCCACAATCATGATACTACTGCCACATCGCAATAACTTCTGCACTATTACGTAAAATAGAAACAGAATATTTAATACTTATGATTCTGATCAAAGGCTCTTTATCACTCATGATACCATTGGTTGGTTTATATTGCGTATCGAAAATTGATTGTTTGAAAAACAACTTTAATGCAACATGTTTTGTTGTTTGTGGTCATCACGCCATATTTTGACAGAATGTGTTTCTTTTTTATTGTGATTGATTTCCTAGCTCACAATTCACAATCAAAGGAATGTTGTCATCAGTACCATCCTATAATAATTTTAATTTGCCTCTCCTAATGCAGTGTAGCATCTGACTTATTTGTCTGTATGTACATGTACATTTAAACAAGAGTCAACTCCAAAAATATAGTTTATTCTTTTTGCAGCTGCAGGAAAGGTTATCATAGCAAATCAACCAATTTGTTGATTTTGTGTTTTTTTGACCTTGATACAGTATATGATACAAATTAATACTGTTTAAGTGCATTTTTTTTAGAAAAGTCAAGTCACAAGCCTTTATTAGAGAAGACGGTCGGTAACCGCAAAGACAGTTCAAATTCTAAAAGAATTGTTTCAGTCGAAAGGCAGGATGGTCGCAAAGAGTTGTTTACTACTCATAGGAAGGCTGATGGACGGCCTAGAAGTCGTAGTCCTCATAACAGGAGGCCTTCATCAACAAGGTATGGCTTTTGAATTTTGAAGTTGTAGTATTGTTAGCCATGTTTTTTATTGTAGCAAGAATTGTCATCACCTAAAAACTTTTTCCTTTGTAGTATAATGTTATTACTGCTATTTTTTGCATTGCTTGTGGGTATTTACTTTGCTATTCTTTGCTACTTTATGTCCAAAAATTATTTTGGTGCTACTCAGTCACATCTACTGTAGTAGTGAGTGCTCATGTGCTCCAAAAGTTGTCAAGGAACTTGAGGATGCTTTTTTAGAATGTCTGTAATTTTAAAGTTTATCTGTACTACCTCTGTCCTTTTAGAAGCCCGTATAGGATATTCTTCCTTACATTCTACTGTCCAGCTACTGTCTGCAACAGACCATGGGCACTACTGCTACTTTCGCATTGTGCATGTGCAAGGAAGCAAAACGGCTTGTAGCAACTACTTTAGAGCATAAGATTGAGGTTTTATATGCAATTATGTCTCAGTAATTGACATTTAGTTATAAAATAAGACAAAGGTAAGGTTTTATATAAGTCAATTTTTTGAGCCAGCACATATTCTGGAGTCAAGAGGGTCTACATGTAGTAATCCAGCTGTCTAAGTCTCCATTCTTCATTGGGGTCTGTAAGAGTTGGAAATTATTCTTGTATAGTACACAATTAACAATGGGCCATCATCCAATTTCAGACATCAAAAATACTTGTTCTGCTTATACATGTAAATACTTTTTATTGCAAAACCTTACTTTGTGGTATTAATTTCTTACTTTTTGGATTGTTTAGGGGAAGGGTGGTATCTCATCGCCTTAGCCCAGCTAGAGACATTAACGTCAGTCCTCGGCAAAGATTTATTTCACCTCCAAGGCCACGACATAGCCCTCCGCGGCATTATGATGTGCCTCCACGATCTCGTCGATTGAGCCCTGATGCTAGACGGTCAAGTCAATCCTCTCGTCGATTAAGCCCACCTTTGCGTTGCGTTAGTCCACCATCACATCAGAGTCTGCCTCCCTACCAGATTCATTTACGAAGTCCTTCCTATCATTCATCTAATCGTAGGCTTGCGTCATCTCCTCCTTTGTCATCTGTGAGGAGTAGTCCAATGTTTATAATGGAATCTCGTATGCATCACAGGTATGTTTGACTATATAAACTCAATGCTTAGTTAAATTTATGTCATAAATTTTATTGAAAGTAGAGACTCTTATCAATATTAATCGCAATTCTAGTGAAATAGCATTTATTGGGACACTTGTCCATATACATTTCTTGCAGGTTAGGGTCACAGATAATTGATTCCCAAGATCTTCATCTAAGATTTCGTGATGAAAGAGATCATGTAATTAGTGACAGAGAAAGAGAAGCACTTAGAAGAGATGTAGAATTTAGACAATCTCGTAAAGAACAAGAGCTTTATCGTCAGATGCGTGAGTTACAAGAACGTGAAAGCCATGGCAGAGATGTCTTAGAACGGCAGCAAAAAGAGCTTCAGGAGCTTCAGAAGACATTTCGTGAAAGAGAAGCCTGCTTGGAAGCTAAAGAGAGAGAGTTGAAGGCCAGGGAGGTTCGTGAAAGGGATAGACTATCTGCTATAGAAAGACAGAAGGAAAAAGAAATACGAGAAAAAGTTCAAAGAGAGTTTCAAAGGAGTATGGAAGAGCGTGAAGAGCGACAGAAGAAGGTAATGGAAGAGCATCTGCGTGTGCACCAGAAGCTAATGTTGGAAAAAGAAAAAAAGCTTAAAGAACAGGAGGAGAGATTAGCAAGTTATAAGGAAGAAATGAACCGCCGACAGAAAGAAGAAGAAGAGATAAAGGAAAGGGAACGTAATGAAAATGAGAGAAAAGAGCGGGACAATAGAAATAGAGGAGCAGCAATTAAACGAAGCTATAATGAAGAGTATCCAGCATTGTCAAAAAGACAAGCTGTTGATGATCCAAGTGTTTTTGGTAGGTTGGGTGGACGTGACAGTCAAGTAGTTGCTCACAGCAATCATTCATCAATAGGTCATGTTGGGTCTTCACAACAAGGACAATCAAGGCCAGTCGTTAAAGAAGCTGTTCTTGCCAACAATGTGACATATCGACGATTTGAGTCACCCAAGTCAGGAAATCGTTTGTCAGCCACTAATCCATATTCACAGAGTCAGTCACGTAGTAACAAGGTGCCAGACCATCAATTTAATTCTAGCAGTAACAAAAGATACCCACCTTCTATGCCTGAATCTGTTACTTATCCTCCTCCCATGAGATTTAGTGGTCAGCATTATCGTGGTGATAGTTCTAATGTTGGATATGGTGGTACTGCTGGTGGTACTGAAATTTCTTCCCTTCCCTTTTCAACTGGTAATCCAAAAATTACTGATGCTGTTCCTCCACTTATAGATCGTGGCCAAGATTATTTGTTGTCACATGTTTTAAACAATGTAAAGAGAAGTGGACCACCTGTGCATCATCAGCCAGTGCCTCCACCGATAACTTCGTATCCCCGTCGTATCGAGCTGCCTTACCATCCTAATTTAAGAGGCTCTGGCTTTAAATAAAATTCAAAAAATAATAATACCTAGTCACCTGCACGAATTCTTTTAGTTGTTTTGAAAGTACATGTACAGTTATGCTATAGTGTAATAAGGTCCAAGGGTTACAATGTAAACTTGCATATATGAGCTGGAACTATTGCGAACAATGTTTTGTTGCAAATGGAATGTGATAATGTTTTATTGATGAAAAGTTCACTTTCTGTTGGTACTTCTTTTTGTATTAATGTGCTTACTCTATTGATTTGTCCTTTCATGATTTTAGTTAAATGAAAATAATACTTTTTAATAGATGGCACCCTAGTGCGTTTGTGATTGTAGTAACATTTACATTGTATTTACTTTGTATTCATAATATCATTTCTCATATTATCAGAAGTTGCATGTTTATTCATGTTTTTGTTGGACTTCAGTATTGAAGCAAATTCTATAGTATTCATTAAATAAGAGGTTAATGGAGTATGACATATTAGTCTGATACATTTAGTCAACAATATGCATAATGTTCATAATCCCGTTTATTTTTAATTGTGTGAGTAGGACTTGTTAAGTTGATTACTTAATTGCTTAGCGTTATGATACACAATTTAATGAATAAATTTCACAAATTTAACAAAGCTGTTGCCTACCTGTAAAGAGAAGATCTGAGTGAACTCTTATTATAGATAACCAATCTTGAGCAAGTTCACTGCTGAATGCGATGACCAGTGGTCATATTTGCTGTGATGACCTTTTTCTGTTTTTCACTCATTCTTTCTACTATAGCTTCTTTATAACACCTCATATAACGTAACACTGTGTTGAATGGAGATATTATTGGGCATATTCCTGATGAATTAACTGTGATGTGTGATGCACACTAAAAAAGAGCTCCCCACATGTCTTGTAAAGTTAAGTTATAGATTTACCACAGGACTTCAATGTGGTGGATGTATAATTTTTTTGTACCTGTATGTGACCATAGCAAGCTGCATGTACTGTAGCAATATGTACCTGTACTGAGATCTATTCTATAGGTGATGTTTCTTCTTTAGCAGGCAACCCTAGATTAACAAAACAGATGTACAATCTTCAGGTATGATTTGTTCATTGATAATTTTAATTGCTGCAGATAATTCTTAAGTAATGAAATGATATAGAAAATTTAAGCAAGATATTTGCTGCATTTAGACTTCTGCAATAGCTTTGCTTGCTCATTCATGTAGAGCATACCACATAGTCTTTAGCTTGCTTAAGCTCGCCCTTGTAATGTTTTACATTCTTATAGTATTCTCACTATTTTGCATGTACTTACATTAATAGAAGTAATACCAAGCTTCGACATACATGCTGCTGCACGCTTCTGTCTTTCCTTCATTCAATGATCTGTCACAATAAAAAGGTTCCTAATTTATATGGACCCCAAAATTAAAATTAATGTCCATGGGTCCAAAATAAGTGGCCCAAGGTCCAAAATAAATGATCCGGGTTCTGAATTTCTCTGTTCTATGTCCAAAAAAGTTCCTACGTCCCAAAAAAGTTTTGGACCCAGGGTTTACAATTATTTGACCTTGGTTAAAAAATATCACTTACTTAGATCTATGCATAAACTCTTGACCTTGCAACAATACTGATTTTATAGACTATAATCAAATAATGATGCAGTCTTAATTATTGTTTAACTGTCAATGCATGGTAATGTCCTTTTCACAATTACATCCATTGGTACTTCAACACAAACATTAAGATGAAACCATTCCAGACACTTTGTACACTGAATCATTTCAATTGTTTGAGTCATCCTGCACGAGCAATAAATACCAAATCTATACGTAACCGTAGTGGTTATATTTCTTCTCTGTCTTTTAAAAGGAAAATCAGTAAACACTCCCTTTGATAGACAGCTGTGTAGGTGTTTTCTTAAAATAAGCTGGTCAAAGACATACTCGCTTGGATTTTGACCTTTAGCTATAATGGAAGCAAAAACAAGTGCAAAAATGCCACAGTCATTACTCCCACTTCGCTGCTGGCAATGCCTATAACTATTGAAATAAAAGATATTATATTTGATTAAATTAAAATCTAATCTTACTTTACAGTTATTTCCTTTTTTGGCAAAATATCAAAGATGCTATTTGTTGCTTTAAAGTATGATTAAGATGTGGAATGAGGCTGTCATAAATATCTACAAACCATCAGTTCATCCAACTGTTGATATTGTCACCCAGTGATTAGCACCATTATGAATAATTTGAACAAACTCCATGTTCATAAATCTATACGAGAGTGTGAAGCCTAATGTCGGGCACTGAAAGCCAGTGGGTAACTGGATTAAATTTTGTCCAGTAATTGTAATAGAATCCGTTATCCATTCTCCATTTAAAATGCTTAATTCATCACCCAAAGTCCACTTCTTTATGTTACGAGGCTTTTTTACATACTATATAGGTGTCTAAGTTCACAAAATCTGGTTTCTTCTGTTGCTTTTGTTTACGTAAAAATGTAGAAAAATGCTTTGAAGCTTTATAGACTCCTACATGTATAATACAAATACTAGTTCATCATAACAATATAATGTTATTTTACCTTTAGTTGTATATAGTAATAATAATAAAATTTTACCTTTAATTCCGGTGCTTTCTTTCACTGCTCTTTGACTACTACCATCCTTTGCCATTTTTGTACTACTAACTGTTGATAAGATACAAGAATAGTAATAATAAAAATAATAGAAATAATATTTTACCTTTTTCAGTGTTTTTTTTTCAATTTCACAACTCTTTCAGTGCTACTGTTTTTTGCTAGTTTATAACTACTAGCTTTTGATAAAACTCTTAGATACAAGAATAGTAATAGTAAAAATAACAGAAATAATATTTTACCTTTTCCAGTGCTTTCTTTTGATTTCACAACTCTTAGTGCTACCATCTTTTGCCATCTTTGTACTACTAACTGTCGATGAAACTCCTAGACACAAGAATAGTAATAATAAAAATAATAGAAATAATATTTTACCTCTTCCAGTGCTTTCTTTCAATTTCAATGCTCTATGACTACTACCATCTTTTGCCATTTTTGTACTACTAACTGTCGATAAAACTCCTAGATACAAGAAAGTAATAATAACAATAATAGAATTAATATTTTACCTTTATTTCCAGTGCTTTCTTTCGATGTCAGTGCTCTATGACTATCATTTTTTGCCATTTCTGTGCTACTACTGTTAATGAAACTCCTGGATACAAGTGTACATGTATATAGTAATAATAATTGCCTTTAGTTCCAGCGCTCTTTTTTATTTTCACTGCTTTATCATTACTACCTTCTTCTGTCCTTTCTTTATTATAACTGTCAATGATACTCCTACGAAATGTGATATACGGTATAGTGGGCTATTTCATTGGATCTATATTTTGTGGTTTACTACTGGTGAGGCAATTCATAGCTTTGATGCCTTTGCTGCTGCTGGCTATTAGGCAAAAAGCAATAATAACTGATATTTCCATGTATTGGCAATTACACTACCTGTGGCTGATTAATATTTATAGGAGATGGCAATGGAGGAGTAGAGTCATCCTATTCAAAAATGTATCACATGATCACATGATCAAAATAATTATACTGCCAATGTAATTATAATGCTTGTACATAGTGTACCGCAATTATTGAGGGGAAAATTTTGGAAAATTACTAAATTGTTGACCATTAAAGGGATTTAATTTGGCATATATGTGGCCATGTGACATTGAGCATTTGCAAATTACTCGCTATTCAGTAAATGTATCTACCTTCGAAAAAGAAGTAGATGTAGTACTTACAGCAGTACCATTTAATGCATTGGAGATGTTTGATTCAATAATACTTAAATGAATGGGATCAGACATTTTGTCTGCCAATATAGGTACTGGCTATTAAAAAGGAAACAATAAAAATTTAGTAATTTAGTATAATGATAGTATTGAAGGCTATAATGAAGGTATATTAACATATATGTAGATTCATGTAGCAATAAATGATAGCAAAACTTTTAGTGACTGCATATGTATGTAATTTATAGGCTTTATACTAATTACCACAAGCAATACCTCAGCATTTTCTAACACTGATGGAACTGTAGAACTTAAGTCAGTTACAATACTTGGAGTCTGTAAAAATAATTGCATGGTTATACAACATACTAATCATTATGGGCTTACAGTAGCATCTTTGGACTGTAGATGGTGCATTGAACTTCTTTAAGTGAGCTCCATTTACTCTTCTGACCACCTGTTTATACATACAAGTACATTGCACTTGTTATCTTAAAGTGAGTATAATGATTGGACAGCACAATTTAAGTTACAAAGTGTATATAAAACTACAAACAATGTAAAACATTAAGTAAATTAAACATTAATTAAACATTAAGCACATTGGTAAAGCATGTTGCAGACCTGTGCTTCCTATCATAATAATACTTCTGCTTAACCTAAATAAGTAATTACTTGAGTTAGGCCACTGTGATTAAATTCATTGTTTCTTATCGCTGCCCGCTCGTAAAAATAGTTCCGCATGATAAAATAGTTATTCCAGATACTCCTATTGATCACGAAGTAAACGGACAGTTTATGCACCTATCAATGTCAAGCCCCACTATCGACGTACGGGACCTATACGGGGATATGTGGAGATTTGAATTTTTCACATGATGAATCCCCCACCCCCTGGGGCCCACCCAGCTTCAAATGCCCATATTCATTCTGTGTCATTAGGGGCATTTATAGGGGATTTTGCTATGTTAATTTACATGCAGTAGAAAAATTTATTTATTTGCTGTATCATCACCAATTAAAAAAGATTATTATTCATTAAATTATAGTAGTGTGTGAATTATAGTAGTTTGCAGATGATTAAACCAGAATTTATGGGCAGCATTTTACCCACATCCACACAAACAAATATGCTTCACTCAGCCACTACACTCAGTACATATATATGTTTTAGGAATTGCTTCACGGTCTATTCCTGGACAGATGAAATGATACCATGTATCACATGTGTCACACCCAATCCAGTCTTCTTCAACTTGAGTAAACTCTTGATACAATGTGTGACAAATGCCACACTGGTACTCATTTGTTGAATAAGAGGGAGTCTTAGAGAGTTGAGAATTAAGAGTTGAGGGTTGAGGATTGAGAGTTGAGGGTTGAGAATTGAGAGTTGATGGCTGAGGGTCACAGAGAGTTGAGCCTAGTTGGATAGAGGGTTGAGTCTTCTTCTTTCTCCTTGTTTTGGCAGCCTTTTGAGCACCACTAATTCTATTGTTCTGAATAGTTTTCAGGTGATTAAACCAGAATTTGACTTCTTGTACAGGCAGCATAACCTTTTTACTTAGTTCACTAAAAGTAAAATCAGAAGGAGGGTATGTTACACAGGAGTCAAAGGCTTCCTTAAGAATTACAGAAGGTGGCTTCA